TCCTTCCATAGCAAACAGAAATTTAATTCTCAAGGCTCCCCACATTTTAACCCCTATTACTCCTTCCTGTGTCCTTGATCATCTCAGTCAACTGCAGTTTTTATATTTCCTTTCTTTACTTATCTTCAGGGATCCTTCAACAGTGCCACTCAAGATAGTATGTGACTTGAGGATAGAGCCAGGTCATAAAATCCTTTTAACTCCATCTCTACACACAAAGGGGGGTGTGTGTGTGTGTTGAGGGAGGGGTTGATGGCTAAAAATGAATACTAAGGCTGTCTCTACACACAAAGGTGTGTGTGTGTGTGTGTGTGTGTGTTGAGGGAGGGGTTGATGGCTAAAGATGAATACTAAGGCTGTCTGGCCTAAGAAGATAATCTCCCTTTGGTCCACCAAGATTCAACCTATTTAGGACAGTATAGGACAGAACTGATCTCAGGTGACAGCAAACTTCCAATCTGTACTAATTGATACTACAAATGAGGATTCAGCTCCTTAGCAGGTAGAGAAAGAGTAGGGTTTAGTGCTTTAGACTTAAGTGTGACTTAATTAAGGGTTAATACTTGAGTAGTCATCTCCCACTGAAGAACATGACTCTGCTGGAGACTGGACTGCAAGAATAGAAAACAAAGGAAAGACATTCCTACAGTGAACCCCAACTTTTAGCCAGAGAAAGTTCTCAAGTCTGGATGAACCACTAAAATTTTCAAGTGATTGATGTCCTATACCGTAAAAAGAATTTTAAGTTTTGACTTCCTGTTCCTCTAGACCAGGGATTTGCAAATTTTGGCCCACAGGTCAAATCAGGCTCATGAGCTAAGAATAGTTGTTACATTTTTAAATAGCTGAAAAATAATTTAAAAAGTTAAAAAAAATTTTTTGTTGCCATTTTGGCTCAGTGGTTAGAGCGTTGGCCTGCGGTCCAGAGAGACCCGGGTTCGGTTGCTGCTAAGGGCATGTACCTCAGTTGCAGTTTGTTCCTGGCTCTGGTTAGGTCGTGCGGGTGGCAACTACTCGATGTGTCCCTTTCACATCGATGTTTCTCTCTCTCTCTCCCTCCCATTCTATCTAAACAAAAAATGGAAAAATGTCCTTGGGTGAGGATTGAAAAAAAAATTTTTTTTTGTTATGTGAAAATGATAAGAAATTCAAATTTCAGTGTACATAAAGTTTCATTGGCTCATGGCAATTCTCATTCACTTATTATCTTGGATACATTTGCATTACAACAGCAGAGTTGAATAGTAACAGGTTGTATGGACTGTAAAGCCTAAAATATTTGCTACCTGGCCCTATACAGAAAAGTATGTTGACCCCTTCTCCGAACAAGCACTGTCCAATATAGAATGTTTTGTAATGTTGGAAATGGTCTATGTTTGCACTAATCCAAAAGGCACTAGCCACGTGTGTGGCTATATGAGCACTTAAAATATGGTTAATGTGACCGAAGAACTGAATTATTAATTTCATTTAAATAACTACAAGTGGCTAGTAGCTACCATATTAAACATATAGCTCTAGACTCTTCTCAAATCTTCTGTATTGACATTATTTGTCCCTTGTCCCAACATCTCACTCCCCTCCTATGATATACCTCTCTATGGATTCTTTGGTTCCTGGCTTCCCTTCCCTGGCCCTATTTAACTAACTCCAAGCAAGGGTACAACATTCACTAGGTTTTCTTTCTAGACTCCCCACTGGCACGACTGAAATCTGATCAGATTACCAAATTTCACCCCATGAATAATCCACATTATGTGCACACACATAAATGGACAGACATATACACAAGTTTCTTTGTGTCAGAGGATGGTACAGTGGTTATGTTTTCTTCTCTGCCTGAGAGAAGTAGAAAAGCCCTCCAAATGCTGGATCCCTTGTTGCTGCTGGAGCCTGTGATATGGATCTCCTCCCTCCAAGAACAGCAGATGTGTACTTACTTGCTATTTGAATCTCAAGGAGAAAACATCCTTCATCACAGGACTTTCTTTCCTCCCCTCAGGCCTAATAAACTGAAGTTAGCTGATTTCTCTAGTTTAATAGATGCTTGCTGTTTTACTGGCCTTTTCTAGCTGGGCAAAAGAACAACTCCCATACTGTCTCCATCTTGGCTAGGAACTCTAGCAAAGGCATTAAAAAGTAATTCACCAAAGTAAATGAAATCCACATAAATACGCTATAGTAGAGCCAGTACTTAAAATGGGAAGAGGTTTAGGGTTATAACTCTTAAAAGTCATAACTTTGTCATTATTTGCAAAAGTAATCTTGAAAGTCTAAATTTTTCATACCTCCTTCCTCCCTAAAAAAAATGGGTTTCTTGCCCTGGCCGGTTTGGCTCATTGGTTAAAGTGTTGGCCTGCGGGCCAGAGAGACTCGGGTCCAGTTCCTGCTAAGGGCACGTACCTTGGTTGCTGTTTGTCCCTGGCCCTGGTTGGGTCCTGCGGGAGGCAGCCACTTGATGTGTCCCTTTCACGTCGCTCTCTCTCTCTCTTTTCCTCTCTTGCCCTCCCACTCTATCTGAACAAAAAATGGAAAAATGTCCTCGGGTGAGGATTAAAAAAAAGGTTTCTTTTCTTTCTTTTTTAAAATCCTCATCAGAAGATTTTTTTTTTCCCATTGATTTTTAGAGAGAGGGAGGGAGGGAAGGAGACAGGGGGAGAAAGAGAGAAACATCGAAGTGAGAGAGACACATTGATTGGTTGCCTCTTGCATGCACTCTGACCAGAGCCAGGGTAGGAACCTGCAACCCAGATACATGCCCTTGACTAGGAATCGAACCCTTGACCCTGTGGTCTGTGGGCCAACACTCTAATCACTGAGCCAAACAAGGCAAAAAATGGGTTTCTGTAAACTACCAGCTTAAAAAGAAAAGAGGACACAGTTCTTTCTCCAGATTAGCTATAGCAAGCAAAAAAAGAAAAATCTCCCACTCCATTTCAAATATCTGACCCCAAGGCCAAAGCCTTCTAAATCCTGACAGAGAAAGTATCTGTTTTTATATATATCCTACTCTGACCTTATATTATTGAGATTGGTTCCTGCCTGGAAAAACAAAAATAAAAATGCTGAATCCTTTAGGTACCACACAAATGGCAAGCCACTGAACCCAACCATCCAAAAGGGGGCGCAGATATTTAGGCTGCACAAGAAAACCAGCTCTGAAACATGAAACTTCCCTCAGGCCAAGCTGTCCTCGTGTTGCAGGGTCAGTGCAAAGTGTTGTAAAGCACTGTGAGGCTGGTTATTCCTGGGCAAGTTTGTACTCAGGCTGCTAAGAATTTCCACTAAGATTTAAATTATGCTATTCATCACTGAGCAATGGAGGGCCATATACCCTCAAGTCTCTCCCACACTTCCTCTCTGGTGTCTCCACAAATAAAAGAGAGACCTTATACCACCACCATGTGAACTAAAGACAGATTTTCATAGTCTAACCATGAAAAGAAGTTTCCAAGTTACTCTTCCATTTTCTCATGTGGCTCCAGCTGCATATTTTGGGTGGTGAGGTGGGTTCTTATAAATTTGTAATTCTTGTAAACTTTCTTATCATGGCACACAAAATGGTTTCATAACCTGATCTCTTACAGCCCCTGATGTTTTTCTTTAGGCATGCACACATCTATTCAGGTGGAAAAAATCAATCCAGACTCTCCTATGCTCAGGTTGTCATTCAAATAAAAAGGCAGATAAACTTTTCTTCCCGCATCCCTAGGCTCTTTACCTCCTTCCTGCCTTTTGGTTTTATTTCAGTATTAGTAAAACCAGATAATTCCAGCTCAGAATTCAAGGTACTACTGTTTGGTAAACTATTAACTGAATAGTGAACCCATGTGGCTTCATTAACAGTACCAGGGTCTTTAGGAGGCCAGAAAGAGACTTTTTTACCTAAAGAAGTGCCATTAGATGTCCTTTCCATTTATTCTACAGAGGTTGAACTGCCTGTTTGCATCACCAGAACAAGAATCAGGTGGGTTTTCCTGGGAATCCAGAGTGATCGGGCCCCCTCAAAACCAGTGCCTAGAAGCTATGCAACTAGCAGGGTTCACAGTTGAGTGAACATCAATGCATAATGAGTGGAGGCATTTCAATGCAAATAAACGCTGAATATGAAGGATTAAAGAAAGGGGAAATTAATCTTTTTCATAACACAGGGCACTTTTTTTTTCTCCCTTGCGCTCTCTTTTTTAAGTCATGCACACAATTGCTGGAGGGAATCCAACTTCCCCAGTATGGTGGTGCTGCTTTATAAAAAGCAGAACATACACATTTAAGACCATGAATTTCCTGAGGATGCCAGCAGCTGAGATTCTGACAGCTCTTCTGAACAGCCTCAGAAGAAAGGCTTTACTAAGTGGGGCCAGACTGACTAGTAAAAATCTCATTTCAAACCAACCTCCTATTTCTCCAAAGCTCATATCTTCCTGGAGTGTGTATGGTTTAAAGGGTTTGGTTTCAGCATCTGGGGGTATTTGGATGCAATTACTGAAGGGTTTTTATTTTTCAATTTGTTTCTAATTGCCCCATCCAAGTGATGCTTTTTGCAATACCAACAAAATAAATAGGGCAGTTTCATGCCGCGTTAGCAGGTGGTCCCATCTCCTCCCAGTCTGATCTTCTTATGCCTAATGTCTCAAACCAAAGAACAAAGTGGCAGCACCTCTTCAGGTTATCTCTTTAAAAAAAAAAAAATTGCCAACAAAGGTTACTCAGCTTTTGAAGACTGTTCACTTCAGGAGATGTTGGACTGGAGCAGAAAACTTGCTAAAAAGCTTTTTGTTCCATCACAGGTCTGTATCAAACACAGGATTCCTCAGACATGCGAATTCTCTATCAGGCTATCATGGGGGGAGGGGCACTTTAAAATTCAAGAAGTCCCTTCAAAATCGTTAACATAGGTTAAGAATTTTCTTGATTACAAATCCATTCCTCAGAGAGGAAATTAATTTCCAACTTGTTCCTTTCTCTTCTAATACCATTTCTGAGAAAAAATGTCAAAGACCTAGAATTTTTAAAATAGGTTTTTATAAATAATGTATTCAAACATTTTGACCCACTACATAAAGAATCCCACTCTTTAAGAAAAATATACACGTTTTGGTAAGAGTTTAAATTCTGATTCAAGCCTGATGCCAAGCCTTGAGATTTCTACTGCTTCAGTTCCAAAGGACCAGTGGATAACAATTTTAGTACACAAAACTCCACTATGTTGTATAGTTCCTTTTCTCCTGGGTCAGACAGCTTTATTCTGCTTCATTAACCCCTTCTTTGCGCCTTGATGGATCTTGGAATCCAGTTTCCCTGTAAGGGAGAAAAAGAAGCCTCATTATTTATTTTTTATATTTGCAATGCAAATCTTTCATGGCCCCCCAGGTCTTTTGGTTACTGTGTTCCTGTCACATGTAATTATCTTCCTTCAGGACTCATACACTTTCAAACTTCAGAGTTTCATTCTGTGAGAATGAGGAAGCAGTGGGAACACCATATAGAAAGACAAAAGCGTGCATACAAACATAATGTGTATCTGCCTAAATAATCTAAATTAATATTTCAATTTTGTAGCTACTAGAAAAGAAACATCACCTTTTCCAGGGTGTCTAATGCTAAGGCAAATTTTTAAAGAATATAAACATATAATAAAGGAAGGCATTTCACACAGTGGGAAACCCATTCCTCTGTCCTGTTAACTGGCTGAGCATAATACACATGAACTTCCCTCACAATGAGAAAAGCAGTTCAACTCACCCCATTCCTGCCTCAGACTTAATAGGGGGAGTGACCTGAAACAGTGGGGTAGAATCCACTTGAATGCTTTACTGACAAAGGGCCCCTATCACCAGTTAAGAAGGGCAAAGGTCACAGGCTGTATGACTCTTCTAAGTGTTAAAGTTAGAAAACAAGCAACCTTCCTGTCCCAGGTGACCCTAATGAGAGGTTCTTCACTGCTGTGGTCTATGACCTCTGACTCTTCAGATCTACCAGGACAGAGTTCAGTTCAGTGGTAGCCATCCATCTCATGAAGAGAATTTTAATAGAGTTCCTTCCTATCTGTCTGAGCTTTCAGGTTGCTTCCTTCCCAAAAAGGTCTTATTTAAGTCCACAGTAATGCTGATGCTGAGAACAGAAAAAAGTAAAACATCAGCCTCGGCACTTAAAAAAAAAAAAAAAGATAACTAAAACAAAACAAGGAGTCTCCCTGTCTTACGGGCCCATACCCACAACCGTTGCCCCTCATATGGTGTCATTTTCATTTGTTGCAGCAATCAGGTGTAAGAGAGCACTACACTAGGAGTCAGGAGACTCAGGGTTTAGTCCACCCTTGTCTGATATTAACTAGCTATATGACCTAGGGCAAGTCATTGTCTCTCTGGACTTCAATATCCTAATTTGTCCAATTAAGAATACAGCTTGGCCCTGGCCGCTTTGGCTCAGCGGTTAGAGCGTCGACCTGCGGTCCAGAGAGACCTGGGTTCGGTTCCCGCTAAGGGCATGTACCTCGGTTGCAGTTTGTCCCCGGTCCTGATTGGTTGTGCGGGTGGCAACCACTCGATGTGTCCCTTTCACATCGATGTTTCTCTCTCTCTCTGTTCCTCTCTCTCCCTCCCACTCTACCTGAACAAAAAATGGAAAAATGTCCTCGGGTGAGGATGATAAAAATAAATAAATAAAAAAGAATACAGCTTGGCCAGTGTGGCTCAGTGGTTGAGCATCGACCCATGCACCAAGAGGCTGCTGGTTCGATTCCTGGTCAGGGCACATGCCCAGGTTGTGGGCCAAATCCCCACCGGGGGCATGCAGGAGGTGGCCAATCGATGTTCTCTCTCACCAATGTTTCTCTCTCTCTCTCTCCCTCTCCCTTCCTCTCTCTCTAAAATCAATAAAGGAAAAAAATTTAAAAATGAATACAATTCATGCTCCAGTTGGGCAGCTCAGTTGGTTAGACCATCATCCTGATACACCAAGGTTGCAGGTTTGATTCCCAGTAAGGGCACATTCAAGAATCAACCAATGGCCTGGCCAGTATGGCTCAGTGGATTGATGGCCATCTCATGGACTGAGAGGGTCCAAATTTGATTCCTGGTCAGGGCACATGCACTGTGTCGAGGGCTTGATCCCCAGTTAGGGTCATGCAGGAGGCAGCCAATTGATGTTTCTCTCACATCGATGTTTCTCTCTCTCTCTAAAAAAAAAAAAAATCAATAAAAACCATTTTTTTTTAAAAAGCTGAAAAAAAAAGAAGCAATGCATAAAAAAGTAGAACAAAAAAATAAAATCAATATTTCTCTCTCTCTCTCTCCCCCTTTCCTCTCTAAAAGAAAAGAATGTATGTCATGACTACTGCACAAAGAGACTGTACAAAAAATAACTTCAATCTAACAAGTTTCCTTGTTTCTTTCTATGGCTACATCTGCGCCTGGAACAACATTACTTCTTTTCTGGACTTCTTCAGAAACCATCACTAAATAATACCCTAAATGCCATCCACAACAGTCACAACACTGTTGATTTTAATTTGGGCTTTAGAGCAAAGAGTATTCCCAAGGATTTAGAAGTTCTTTCATCCACCAGGCAGCCTGGTTGGAAATATAAACAGGTGCCAGAAATTTGGCAAAGCACCCTACAAGACAAGTTTGCCTCTGTATTCCTAACACTATTATAGTGACTGCCAAATGGTAGGTTCTCAATAAACGTTTTCATCAAATGAATTAAACAAAGAAGGTAGACACTACAGATTTCAAAACCTTTACATTATAGGGACTATTAAGTAACCAAAAGTAGATACCAGATAAATATTAATTTGGCTCAGCAGTTAGAGCATCAACCTGCGGACCAATGAGTCGCAGGTTTGATTCGGGTCAAGGGCATGTACCTCAGTTGCTGTTCGTCCCTGGCCCTGGTCTGGTCGTGTGACACGGAGGCAACCAGTCGATGAGGCTTTATCACATGGATGTTTCTCTTTGTCTCTCTCTCTCTCTCCCTCCCTCCCACTCTGATGATAAATAGAAAAATATCCTTCCTCGGGTGAGTAATAAAAAAAAAAAGAGTACCCATTGTGCCCTGGTTGGTTTGGTTCAGTGGTTGGAGCATCGGCCTGTGGACAGAAGGATCTCGGGTTTGATCCCTGGTTGGGGGCAAGTGCCTAGGGTGCAGGTTTGATCCCAAACTCCAGTCAGGGTCATGAGAGAGGCAAACCAAACAATGTTTCTTTCTCTCTCCCCCCCTCCCCCCATCTTTCTCTTCCCCTCTAGCTAAAAATCAATGGAAAAATATCCTCTGGTGAGGAATAACAAACAAACAAACAAAAAAGAGTACCCATTGTAAAGGTGTTGGTACCCAGAGGTACAAAGAAGTATTGTGTCTCATTCAACTTTTTAGAACAAGCCAGCACAGAATTTAAAATTCCATCCAGGACTCCAGTCTTCTAGTTCTCTTTACTGGATAAGTTAGAAGAACCAGGTCCCAGTATTAGTCCTAAGACTACCTAGTTGTATAACTTGGAAGAAGTCACCTAGTCACTCTTGTCCTCAACTTTTTCAATGCTAAGAAACTGGACTACATAGTTTACTGAAGGCCCTTTCCTGCTCTATGATATTGTGTCCTAAAAATGAAATATAAATTGAAATGGTTTCTGAGGCAATATGGAAAAAAAAAAAGCAGAAAACCCAGAAAAGAGCAGGAAACCTAGAAACAGAAAGATGTGAGCAAAATACAATTCCTGTAAACCTGTTTACTCAACTAAAAAATGAAATGAGGGAAAATTCCTATTAACTTACAAAGTTGTTGATAGGATTATAGCTAACATTAAATGCTTTCTATATACCAAGTACAGTGCTAAGTATTTTAGATACACTGCCATTTAATCAAATAACCATTTGAAATCATGTATGTTAAGGTGCTTCATAAATTCAAAGTTCTCTGAAAAAGTAAGGGTAGTTGTATTATTTATGTTGAGACTTGGGAGTTATACTTCTTAGTTATGGTCTCAGTTTTACTTTTTTTTTTTTTAATCCTCACCTGAGGATATTTTTCCATTGATTTTTCAGATAAAGTAGAAGGGAGGGAGGGAGAGAGAGAGAGAAACATCTATGTGAGAGAGAAACATCAACTGGTTGCCTCCCACATGACCCCAACCGGGGCCAGGGATTGAATCGCAACTGAGATACGTGTCCTTGACTGGAACCGAACCCACGACTCATTGGTCCACAGGCCGTCACTCTAACCATTGAGCCAAACTGGCCAGGGCTCAGTTTTACTTTTAATTTACCATATACTCTGGGCAAGTTTTTTCATTATAGTCATTTCAGATTCCTCATATATAAAAAAAAAGAAGACATTACATTCTTCACACTCTCAAGCTTTACTGTATAAGAACTTTCCAAGTATAATTTTCAGAAAACTTCAGTCTGATAATGAAAACTCTCAAGTAAGGCCAGATTGTTTAAGTTCAACCTATCAGAGCAAAGCTCTCAGTGATAGGCAGACTAATCTCTGGCTTCAATAATGATGTCATAAAATGGAAAACTAATAGGAGGAAGGAGATATAAAGGAATAAGGATTTTCAGGGCATTCCCAGGGATTCAGAAATTCTTTCATCCCCTATGCTGCTTAAAAAAAATAAATAAATGTACATGTGCCAGCAATCTGTGAGCTCCTTACAAATAAGGACTTCCTTGCATTCCCTAACATCTACCACAGTGACTGCCAATAGTGGCAGTTCTTGAGTCAACTGTGGGCAATGAGGGCAAGGGACTGGGGCTTCTTGCATGAAGAAGCAGTCATCATGGCTGCCCTTGGATTACATGAGCTTTGAACTCTGAGTTCTAGTTCAGCCTGGTCTTGCAAGACTTGGGATCTGAACAGTTAACTAATGTAACACAGTACATTCTCTTAAAAGCAGAGTGATAATGCTTAGTCTCTGTATTTCCCCAATACTTTTACATTTAGTACCTGCAGCATTTCAGTGTTAAACCACATCCTCAATCATGGTGCCTAAAAGAAAATACAATGCATGTGCAACAGATGGGCAAGAAGTTGAAAGGGGAAAAGTATTTGCCATCAATCGATATAACTCTCATAGGGATTTTCACGTGCTTTGCATAAGATATAAGGCAGTATTTACATGAGTTTATAGAGCATATAGTTCATTTAAAGTAAAAAGATTCCTTTATCTCTTTGAACATTCAACCTGTATGTTGTACTATACTTAAGGTTTTTTGTATTTCCTAATTTGAACAAACACACAGCCAAATGATATCATATTGCACATTGCTCTTTTCTAAATTATTTCAGTTTCAAGAAACACAATTATCCCCATCTCAGGCAAGCTCAAGTTTACATGTCCAAAAACATAAATAAAAAAAAAAATATATATATATATCTTTAATTGAAGGCATCTATACACATGATATAACATGTGAATGGTTTCTGAAAGTTTATTTGCAAGTCAGAAGTTTAGAACTTGGAATATATTTCTCATAGAACTAATCTATAAAAGTTGGCTAGGTTCCTAAACCATCCCACAAAAATATGAGGGTTATTTTTTTTAAATTTAAACCATAGTTATGACAGTGATTAAAGTAGAGTGGTAACTATATTATTAATACTATGAAACTTAACCACTTCAAGTAACACTATATCTAGAATAAACTATGAAGTACTCCAAATTAAGAGCTAACTATGTATTTTTCCCCTGTGTCAGTGGCATTAAAGACTTTCCCAGCTGTAAACTACTGGAGGTGGCCCCTATGGCCTAAGGCAAGGAAGTTCTGGCAGAGTGTAAAGTTTGTAGAGATGGTAAGACTGAATGAAGGATAAAGGAATGGGGACTTACAGAAAATAGAAACTTTACACCAGGCTAAATCCTCACACTGCCTCCTTTTCAAATGAATTTTTTTCTGAGACACACAGGAATTGGTGAGCCTATTCTTTCCTTTTTATTTTATTTATTTATTTTATCCTCACCCGAGGTTTTTCCATTTTTTGTTCAGATAGAGTGGGAGGGAGAGAGAGAGAAAGAGAGAGAGAGAGGAAAACATCGACATGAAAGGGACACATCGAGTGGCTGCCTCCCACAAACCCAACCAGGGCCGGGGACAAACTGCAACTGAGGTACGTGCCCCTAGCAGAAACCGAACCTGGGTTTCTCTGGACCACAGGTTGACGCTCTAACCGCTAAGCCAAACCAGCCAGGGCCTTTTTTTTTTTTTTAAATAAATTTTCTCTATGTATTGTTTCTTACCAATGTTTTTTCACCTTGTCTGGTTTACCATGAAAGACGCTGTAGGCTCATAATTTCTATGTAGCCCTGTTGTTCCTGAAACAAACATATAGACCATTTTGCCTTTTTGAAGCTTTTAACTAACAGAAACAATGGGGAAAGACAGGAGGTTATTAAAGCTTGCTCCCTAAGAGCATCGGTCCCACAACCCTATTAAATCTTATGGAAAAAGTGCTGAAGGTGGGTCTCTGTCCAGATAGAGGAGTACTGAAGTAAAACACTTCAGAGGAGTATCTAAACTCTGTTTACACAGAACATTTTCTCACAGGAGTGTAAACAGCAGATAAAAACCTAGATAGAGGAGGAAGGTAAGAAAAGGTAACTAGGGTAGAGATCAAGGTAGCAGTGGGTCTGGCAGAGGAGACCTACCACATTTTCTCCCACTAGTTGCTATCAGTGTCTAGCCTAAGGTGAAGAAGGGGGTAGAAAACCACAACCAAAAAAAAGAAGAAAAGAGATATTTAAATCCTATAGAGTGGAGAAGGAAGGAAACAGATTTTCCAGGGCCACTTGGCTACACACTGGAGTACAATCTGAAGTAAATAATTTGTGTAAGTTAAGAGCAACTTATGTTCACATTTTCTGATTTGTAGGAAACTCAGGACCACATGTGTCATTTAAATCATGAGAGTTGCCTGAATTTTGTAGTGAATACACATTAATCTAAGTTCATACTTAAAGCAATTCATTTTGTGACTGAAAGCAGCGTTACTCCAAGTGTACTCAGTTGACCAATGGCATCAGTATCACTTGGGTGAAGGCTTAGGAACCTGTCTTAACAGTTCTATAGGTGATTATTATTTACATTCCAGTTTGAGAAGTACTTCTCAACAGAAAAGATTTATGAAATGGCTAGTTGGTGCCCTGTACAGTTTGCTCACTGGTTAGAGCACTGGCCTGAGAACCAAAGGGTCATGGGTTCGATTCCTGGTGAAGGGCACATATCTGGATGGCAGATTCAATCCCTGATCCTGGTCAGGGTCATGGGAGAGGCAACCAATCAATGTGTCTCTCTCACATCAAGGTTTTTTTTCCCCTCTCCCTCCCTTCCACCTTATCTAAAAATGAATGGGAAATTTGCCTCAGGTGAGGATTAACTAACTAACTAACTAACTAAATAAATAAATAAATAATAAAATGGCTACTTGGTTTCCAAGGTACTGAGCGAGGAAGAGTATACACAGCTGAAGACAATGCATACCCCAGAATCATCCAGTTCACACAGTGGGAAAGCAGTGTCACAGAAGCACAAAATAGTAATTGACATGAGCAAATGAGAGAGTTGATGTTGTTTTTGAAATAAAGTTAGTCAGGGAGGACACCACTATATATTTCTTGAGATTGCTTTGAAACAGAAGAGGCTGCTGTAGAACCAGAGAAAGAGAAGATGGAAGTTGAAGAAAAGTTTAAAGTTGAAAGAATGTAGTCAACGAGCACTTCCTAAGAAGTGAATATACAGAGGGTACAACTATCACAAATACATAAAAGCAAAAGTTACAGAAAAAGAAATTGTCAAGAGGTTTCAAAGAGATGAAAAGTAAGAGGACTAGGGCAAAGCTCTAGGAACCAGTAATCAAGGGAATAGTAGGGGGAAGTGATGCCTCCAAAATAGTCAACAATAGACACTTAAAAAGTTGTCTTATTCTTGGACTGAATACTGAGGAACAATGGATAAATGACAATGTTGCCATTGAGCATAATAGCAGAACAAAGCATACTCTTCTGGCTGACAAAATAGGATTTGAATGCATTGTGGTCACAAATCGAAGTTTAGAGTGATTCACTAGCATTCCATTAATTGTGGACCAATCCAGATACACTTTGGAAAGGCTATTCCACAGATAACCTAACATTAAAGTTATTAATAAATATAATTTTATTAATTCTCCAACACTTGAGATGCTATAGAACAGGGTAAAAAGAGAAAAAAATTTAAAAGTTAAACAAGAGAGATGCAAGATAAAAAAAAGAAAATTAGACCATCAAAGCTTGTGACTTACAGATTTTTGGATTTCCTTTAATAGGAAACTTCACAATCATTTCCTGGGGATTTGTGCAGATGAAAACAAATGGAGAATCGGATTCTTGACTCATGTCTGGATACTGCGAAATATAAAAATAAAAAATTCAGTCTAGTTGAGACAAATTTTGAATTTCAAGAAGATCACAGGATGTCCCAGATTTCACCTCAACATGTGAATGACAGTACTCTTCATTCCACACCCAGGTAAAGAGGATTATGCTCAGCAAACAAGAACAAACCTTCACCTTTCCCCAGGCCTTAGCACAATATTCTTATATAATCTACTGCCTACCATTTCTAACTTCCTATAATGGGAATTACTTTTTTAAACAAAGGATGCCTGAGATCTTCCCAGAAGAATAAGAACTACCTATTCCTTTAACATAAGAGACTGAGCTAGGAGATTCAGAGGTCTCCTTCAGGAACATTCGGCACCCCCTAGGTTCAACTCAAATGAAACACTGAAGATTTAAGAAAAATAGAACATTTGTAAAAATTCTGACTGTAAAAACAGTCAACAGAGCCCTTCTCTCACTAAAGAAAAGGGAGATGGTTCATTCTGAAAGGTATGAACATGCAAACACTGTTTTGCTGGATGTATTCCAGACTTACTTAGGATGAAAAGGTAACTTGTAGAGCAATTCTGGAAATTATCTAGAAGCCTCCTTTGGCTCTCTTAACACAAAACAAATCTGTGTGAATACTTTGAACTTTTATTCCTTCTGCAGACAGACATAACACCTAAAATAAGATGATGCTGACCACGCAGTCACAATTTAAGAAGCAACTGGGGATTGCCAGACAGTGCTCTCCAACAATGCCCAATTGGTCTGGTGTTTCATTATTTCCTATCTTGGAATGTCTTGTGTTTAGCATGTTCGACAAATATAACTCATAAGTTGACTGTGACTATAGGTCAGACTTCATTACCAAAGGAGCCTTTCTCCTGGTAACTACCACCAAAAGTATGAAATTATTTTCCACTCTTATTCACCTGTTAAGGTATGTCCTCTAAAGATCTAAAGTAGAAATCAAGAATTCAGTAAGAAAATTCAAATTTCCCTGTAACAAATGGAAGCATGAACAGTTAAACTTCTTTACTGACTATTCTGTGCTAGGTGGTAAGTAATGCTGTGGAGCAAACAAAGAATTTTAAGCAGCTTTTGGTCCTGCCCACATACCATAGTCTTCAGGGTGGGACAGGTGTGGCATGTACTTTGATAAAACATAGCTTAATATCAAGTATCAGCCACAATTATATGCACAGCCAAGGTCAAAATGCTCATGGTAGAAAAGAAAAACTAAAGATGTGAGGGTAAACTCTCATCTTTCTTTACCCCCTGGATCTTTAGAACTAAAAGAAAAGTAGAGTCCAGCTGTTCCTGCTGAGGTGCTTCTGAACAAATAAAACCAGAGGCTGCTATCAAGATCGTTAAACCTAATTCTACAGAGACCAAAGCAACAGTAGTCACAATTAACATCTCTTCACATTTCCTGCTCTCTCTTCTCTGTGTCTTAACAGAATATCAAGGCAGAAGACAATGCTTCCAGGACTTCACAGCTCTGCTTTTTAAAAATTTCACACCATTTCAGCCATTCTCTCCTTTCCCATCCACATTCATAGTTCTCTCTCTACTTGATTAATCTCATTAACAAACATACTTTCTGTAATGTCTGCCATAAAACAAAAACTCTCCAGATTCCACATTCTGCTCCATTTACCAGATTCTCTTTAATAAAATTAATTAAAAGATTATCTATACTCCCTGCCTCAAATTCCTCTCCTATTTTTTCTTGAATTCACCATACACAGGCTTTCACTCCCATCGCTCCACTAAAACTATTCTTGTAAAGATTATTACTTATTTCTAAGTTGCTAAATCAAATGGTCAGTTCTCAGTTCTCATTTTAATTGATCTGTAGAACCTGACAAAATTCTTCTCTCCCTCCTTGAACACATTCCTCCCTTGGCTTCCAGGATACTATTCTCTTCTGGTTTTGCTGCTTTACTAGCTGCCCCTCATCTTCCCATCCTTTAAATGTTGGCATGCTTCAGGGGTCAGTCAGGTCTCAGACCTTTTTCTCCTGGATTTGTAACTATGAGAGGTGATGGATGTTAACTAAACTCATTGTGGTAATATTTTTTTCAATTAATACATATATCATATCACTACATTGTACACCTTAAACTAACACAATGTTATATATCAATTATAAGCCAATAAAACTGAAAAAAAAAAAAAGGTCTTAAAAACGCATATCAAAATGAGATACCACTTCATACTCACTAGGACGGCTATTATAAGACAAAACAAAAACAAAAATCATGGACAATAACAAGAATTAGTAATAATAAAAATTATAACCCTCATGCATTGTTGGTGTGAATGTAAAATGGTGCAGCCACTGTGGGAAAACAGTTTGGTGTTTCTTCAAAAAATTACACACAGAATTACCATATAATTCAGCAATTCCACTTCCAGGTATATACCCAAAAGAACTGAAAAGGACTCAGACAGATGTTCATAGCAGCATTATTCATAATAGTTTCCACAATCCAAATGTCCATCAGTAGATAAATGAATAAACAAAATGTGGTATATACATAAAATGAATATTATTCAGCCATAAAGGGAAATAAAATTCTGATACATTCTACAAAATGGATAAATCTTGGAAAATCATGCTAAGTAAAATAAGCCAGACACAAAAAGGCAAATATTGTATGATTCTACATATATGTGGTACTTAGAATAGGCAAATTCACAGAAACAGAAAGTAGAATAAAGGTTACCAGGGGCTGAGGAGGAGGGGTAGAGAAAGAAAGAATTATTATTTTTCCTTCAATAACTTTTTTCTTTTTAATCCTCACTGGAGGATATATTTTTTATTGATTTTAGAGAAAGGAAGGAAGAGAGAGAGAGAAACATCAATCGGTTGCCTCTGGAATCCACCCCAGACTGGAAATTGAACCCACAACCAGGGCATGTGCCCTGACCAGGAATCAGTGACCTCTTGGTGCATGGGACCATGCTCTAACCAACTGAGCCACACCAGCCAGGACAAGAGGAATTATTATTTATGGGTACAGAGATTCTGTTTGGAATGATAAAAAAGAATTCTGGAGTTGAGTAGTGGTGATAGTTGCACAACATTGTGAATGTATTTAATCAAACTGAATTATACACTTTAAATGGTTAAAATGGTACATTTTATGTTATATATATTTCTTACCACAATAAAAATAAAGTTTAAAAAATCAAGGTCCTGACCCAGCCGGTGTGGCTCTGTGGTTGAACATCGACTCATGCACCAAGAGGTTGCTGGTTTTATTCCTGGTCAAGGCACATGCCCAGGTTGTAGGCCCAATCCTCAGTGGGGGGCATGCAGGAGGCAGACAATCGATGTTCTTCCTCAATGATGTTTCTACCTCTCTCTCCCTCTCCCTCTCTCTCTAAAATCAATAAAGAAAATAAACGTTAAAAAAAAATCAAAGTCCTGAATTTCCTTCCCAAACCTGCTCCCCTCTTATTCATACCTCTTTAAAATAAATAAATAGCTATTTCCATCCTTCCAGTTATTTAGGCCAAAAACTCCACAACCAACCCACTGGGAAATCCTGTCAACTCTACCTTCAAAAGCTATCCAATATTTCACCACTTTTTAAGAACTCCAGCCCTGGCCAGTTTGGCTCAGCGGTTAGAGTGTCGGCCTGCGGTCCGGAGAGACCCGGTTCGGTTCCCGCTAAGAGCACGTACTTCGGTTGCAGTTTGTCCCCAGCCCTGGTTGGTCGTGCGGGTGGCAGCCACTCAATGTGTCCCTTCACGTCGATGTTTCTCTCTCTCTCTCCCTTCCTCTCTCTCCCTCCCACGCTATCTGTACAAAAAAAAAAAAAAAAAGAACTGACTAGTACACTGCTGGTAGGAATGCTAACTGGTGCAGCCACTGTGGAAAATGATGTTACCTCAAAAGGTTAAAAATTGAACTGCCATTTGACCCAGTGATCTCACTTCTAGGAATATACCCTAAGAAACCTGAAACACCAATCAGAAAGAATATATGTATCCCTATATTCATAGCAGCTCTATTTACAACAGCTAAGATCTGGAAACAACCCAAGTGTCCATCAGTAGATGAGTGGATAAAAAAGCTGTGGTACATATACACAATGAAAAACTATGCAGCTGTAAGAAAGAAAGATCTCTTATCCTTTGAGATGGCATGGAAGGACCTGGAGAGTATTATGCTAAGCGAAACAAGCCAAGCAGAGAAAGGCAACTATCACATGATCTCACTTATTTGTGGAATATAATGAACTAAACAAACTGATGAACAAAATTAACCCAGAGACAGAGAGTTGGAATAGAGACTAACAAGCCTCAGAGGAGGGGGTGGTTAGAGGGGAAACAGATAAACCACATAACGTACGTGTATATGTGCATGACTAATGAACATAGACAACAAAGCTGGGGATGGGATAGGGGGGGAAAGGGGAGGAGGGGTGTCAATGAAGGAAAAATGAGAAACATCTGTAACAAAAACAAATTAATAAATAAATAAGAAAAAAAGAACTCCATGGCTACTTTCCTGGTCCAAGCCATCATAACATCTCCCTGGATTACCACAATAACCTCCTAATTGATCTCTCTGTTTTGGCCCTTACCCCCTCTTGTCTATTCTCAAAACAGCAGCCAGAACTTTTTTTTAAAATATCAAATCATGTCACACCTCTGCTTAAAACTCTCCAATGGCTTTGCATCTCAGTCAGAATAAAAGCCTAGCTCCATTTTTTTTCAAATGTAATTTCCTACTACTCTCCCCATTTTCACTCTACTCCAGCCACTCTGGCTTCCTTGCTGTTCCAGCCTATGGGTCTTTTTTTTTCTTTTTTAATTAATCCTCATCCAAGGATATGTTTTTATTGATTTTTAGAGAGAGAGAAGCATGGATATGAGAGAGGAACATGGATATGAAAGAGAAACATTGATCAGTTGGTTACCTTCTGTACATGACCCAACTGGGGATCAAATCCAAAACCTAGGTATGTGCCCTGACCAAGCACTGAACCCACAACCTTTCT